TTTCCCCTTTTTTTTTTTTGGGGGGGGGGGGGCCCCCCCCCCCCCCCCCGGGGGGGGGGGGGGGTTTTTTTTTGGAAAAGGGCCCCCGGGGGGGCCCCCCCCCCGGGGCCCCCGGGGCCCCTTTTTTTAAAAATTGGAATTGGGGGTTTTTTCCCCCCTTTTTTTAAAAAAAAAAAATTTTTTAAAAAGGTTTTGGGGCCCCTTTCCCCCCGCCCCCCCGGGGGGGGGGGGGGGGAAAGGGGGGCCGGGCCCCCAAAAAGGGTTTCCCCCCCAAAAAAACCGGATTGGGAAACCCGGGGGGGGCAAATTTTTTTTGCCCCAATTAAAATTTTTTTAAAAAAAAAAAAAATTGGGTTTTAAAACCTTTCAAAAACTTTTTAAAAACCCAAAATTTTTTTTTGGGGCCTTTTAAAGGGGGGAAAATTTTTAAAAAAAACCCCCCCCCTTTTTCCCCCCTTTTTTTTTTAAAAAAAAGGGGGGGGTTTTTTAAAAAATTTTTTTTAAAAAAACCCCCCCCGGGGGAAAAAACCCCCCCCTTTTTTTTTTTTTTTTTTAAAAAGGGGGGGGTTTTTTTTCCCCCCAAAAAAACCCCCCAATTTCCCCCCGGGGGGGGGGGGCCCCCCCCTTTTTTGGGGGGGGGGGGGCCCCCCCCCCCGGGGGGGAAAAAGGGGGGTTTTTCCCCCCCGGGGGGAGAGCGGGCCCCCTTTTTCCCCCAAGGGGGGGGGGGGGGGCCCCCGGCCCCGGGGGGGGGGGGCCCCCCCGGGGGGAAAGGGGTTGGGCCCCCGGGGGGGGAAAGGGGTTCCCCCGGGGGAAAACCCCCCCCGGGGGGGTTCCCCCCCCCGGGGGGGGGGGGGGGGGGGGGTTTTGGGGGGGCGGGTTTTTCCCCCCCTTGTGTAGTAAGTATTCACAATGTGGTCCAGCTGGAGAGCAGTTATGCCTTCTTCTCCCCTTAACCCTCTATGGGACACTGAGCCTCGTGTTCCCCAAGGCGGTGGAGAGCGAGCCTCGTGTCCCCCAAGGAGGTGGAGAGTGGGCCTCGTGTCCCCCGAGGTGGTGGAGAGCGGGCCTCGTGTCCCCCAAGGCGGTGTAGAGCGGGCCTCGTGTCCCCAAAGGCGGTGTAGAGCGGTCCTTGTGTCCCAAAGGCAGTGGAGAGCGGGCCTCGTGTCCCCCAAGGAGGTGGAGAACGAGCCTCGTGTCCCCCAAGGCGGTGGAGAGCGAGCCTCGTGTCCCCCAAGGGCGGTGGAGAGTGGGCCTCGTGGTGGAGCAGCGTCCCCCAAGGCGGTGGAGAGCGGGCCCTCATGTCCCCCAAGGCGGTGGAGAGCGGGCCTCGTGTCCCCCAAGGAGGTGTAGAGCGGGTCTCGTGTCCCCCAAGGCAGTTGAGAGTGGGCCTCGTGTCCCCACGGCGGTGGGAGAGCGGGCCTCGAATCCCCCGCGGGCGGTGGAGAGGGTGTCTCCTCTCAGCATAGGAGAGCGGACTTCTCCTGCATGTGTCCCCTCAGCGGCGCTGCCACTGTAATGGCGATGCTGTGGAAACCGGAACTTGTAAACCAGAACTCGGATTCACAATGAGGTTTGGAGAGCATATGCAGTCGCTCCATGCTTCTTCATCTGTGCTCCGACAATGCTCGCCGCTCGCCACAGAGGAATTTCTCCTCGCATTTGGCGAGCAGCTTTTTCAAGCCCTGTGTTAGAGAGTAGCTATGTTTGTTCTCCATGGTCCAGCAGTGTCTACTACAATGTTTTTCAGCTTCCGCAGAGATCCTACACGTATGGCATATACGTTCTTATTTTGGTCCAAGCTGAACCAATGAAATTATATAACTAAAGCCATGGCTAAACTTCAGCTTTAAAGAGGAACTCCAAGAGAGTATATTGGTGCAGGAGAGGTGCTTATGGATATTATAGTCCCATGGGTAATAGGCAAAACAAGGAAGTTAAGCTATGGAGATATATAGAGTCTTTCCATAGAAGGGTAAAAATGTTGGAGATTATAGCAATTAGCTTTTTGCTGGAGAGATGGGGATAATACAGTACAATCACATAGGTAGTTTGGGGGGGGGGGGGGGGGGATGCTGTTAGAGCTGTAAGGTATGGCACCGTCGTGAGGCAGCACCCTCTGGAGTTAAGCGGAACTCTGCAATGGGAAATAAGAGGAGAGAGAGGTGCGCCAGACTAAGTGCAGTATAAATTCATAAATTTATTGCACACAATATATAGTAATTCACAGGAGGTAAGTAGTATTCAGGCATCAATGCAAAAGGGACGTCATCCGGGCGTGGTACCAGAGGCAGGATGGAGGAACTGGATGGGTTTCCAGGGGCCACAGCTAACGTGATGACCAGGTCTCTATCACCGATCTCAGAGGAGGAGCAGGGAGGGCAGGTGGGTATCCAAGGGGCCACGGTGCAGATGAGAGCCGGGTCTCCTGGTAAGCGTTTGCACCTCTCCAGCCAGCATGGGCTGTCACACGTCAGTGGAACCAGCCTGGAACGCAAAGATGACCGCCAGGCAGAAGTGACATCAGAACGGAATGTGGAGCTGCAGGAAGGGGGGCGGTAACGCGTTTCAAAGCTTTAGGTTTCTTCATCAGACCTAATTGGCCACTAAGGCAGGCCATTTAAATAGGGGACGAAGGGTGCGGGAAGCGGCTGTGTGGGGCGGGTCAGTAATGCTCCTTTCGGAGCATGAAAAACAGGAATACATACAAAGTACAGTAAACAAAAACGGGGAAAAAAAGGAGGAATGGAGAATAATAATAAATTAACAAAACAAACAGTATTAGTGGAAGAACAATGTGGATTGACAGTGAATGCTGCGATATGAGGAATGAAGGAGGAGGTACTATACAACAACAGTGTGTGATGCTGAGACTATGCAATGGCAATTGATCAGTATGGAAAAAGTTACATATATATAAAATGCATATTAAATATATACACATATATAGATATATATCTTTTATTATAATATAGTATATATATTTGTTTTTTCCTCCCTATAATTTTTTTTTATATATATAATTTCAATCTTTTCTTTTTATATATATATATATATATATATATATATATATAATTTCAATTCCTTCCCTCTATATATATATTTTTTTTTTCCCTTGTTCTTTAATTTATTATTTTATAATCTCATAATGTTTTATTATTATTTTTCTTAATATTTTATCCAGTTATCTTTATATATATATGTGTATATATATAGTATGCATTTTATACTGTATATATGCAACTTTTTCCATACTGATCAATTGCCATTGCATAGGCTCAGCACCACACACTGTTGTTGTATAGTATCTCCTCCTCCTTCGTTCCTCATATCGCAGCATTCACTGTCACTGTCACAGTGGTGAGGGGGCTCAGGGGCCACATTTGGCAGGGGGGATTGCAGGTGGGGGGGGATGCATGGGCCACATTTGGCAGGGGGGATTGCAGGTGGGGGTAGCGCATGTGCTTGGGGGTTTGCAGGTAAGGGGGATCAGGAGTCAGGAAGGATTGCAGATGGGGGGCTCAGTGGTCATATGGGCCAAGGGAGTTGCAAATGGGGCAAGGGGGATTGCAGGTGGGGCGGGAGGGGGGGCTCAGGAGCTGCATTGGCCAGGGGAGATTGCAGGTGGAGGACTCATAAGCCAAAAGGGTCAGGGGGAGTTGCTTGTAGGGGGCTCAGGGGCTGCATGTGCCAGGGGTGATTGCAGGTGGTGGGCTCAGTGGCCACATGGGCCGGGGGGATGACAGGTGGGGCAGGGGGATTACAGGTGAGAGGTGCAGGGGCTGCATGGGCAAGGGGAGATTTCAAGTGGGATATTCATGGACCACAAGGGTCAAGGGAGATTGCAGGTGAGGGGCTCAGGGGCTGCATGGGCCAGGGAGAATTGCAGGAAGGGGGCTCAATGGTAACATGCGCTGGGATGATTGCAGGTGGGGGATCAGGGATTGCATGGGCCAGGGTGGATTACAATTGGGGAAGGCTCAGTAGCCACAAGGGCCAGGACAGTTACAGGTGGGGGGCTCAGGGGTCACATGGGGGATTGCCGGTGGGGTAACTCATGGACCACATCGGCCAGGGGGGATTGCAGGTGGGGTAACTCAGGGGCCGCATGGACCAGGGAAATTGCAGGTGGGGTGCTCAGGGGCCACATGGGCCAGGGAGGATTGCAGGTGGGGTGCTCAGGGGCCACATGGGCCAGGGAGGATTGCAGGTGGGGTATCTCAGGGGCTACATGGGTCGGGAGAATTGCAGGTGGGGTAACTCAGGGGTCACATGGGCTGGGGGTATTGAAGGTGGGATGCTCAGGGACCACATCGGCCAGGGGGGGTTGCAGATGGGGTAACTCAAGGGCCACATGGACCAGGGGCATTGGAGGTGGGATGCTCAAGAGCCACATTGGGGGGGGGGTTGCAGGTGAGGTAATTCAGGGGCCACATGGGCCGAGGGGGTTGCAGGTGGGGTGCTCAGTGGCCCTGTCATCTGAGACCGTAGCACCAGGACGTTCCCAGGGACATATGTGAACACACATCATACAAAGGCTTCATTCTCCCCATCCTCTCTGCTGCATTCTAAGCCTCTCCCTTCCTCCACAGACATGAAGCCATGTATGACCGTGCAGCCAGCCTCAGGAATCTGCAATTGCTAGATAAACAGCAGCAGAAAGCAGGGCACGTCCTATAAAGTTTTCTGGAAGAAGGGCACTACAGCAGGCTAGGAGGAGTGAGGGAGAGGTGTCAGAGGGAGGGGCGCATGCGCAGTCGGCTTGTTTTTCACAAAGCTGTTGATAAAGTGAGCCGGCACACTGCAGACAGCCGTCTTTGTAGAGAGACCAGAGAGCAGAGCACAGCTCCCACCATAGCTCCCCTCATCCCCCATGACCGGCCTGCACTGACCCTGCCTTGCTGCAAGGCTCCCCCACCTTCCCCCCCGATCAGTGCAATACTCTGTATGAGATCGGCGCCCGATCATCGTCACCTCACACATTTTTATACATCGTTCCAATCATGGTGCTGGGGAAGGTGAAGAGTCTGACCATAAGCTATGACTGTCTGAACGGCAGCCATGTCCCCGTCTATTCCAGCGGGGACACCGTCTCAGGAAGGTGAATCTGGAGGTGACCGGGGAGATCAGGGTGAAGTCTCTGAAGATCCATGCCCGGGGACATGCCAAAGTCCGGTGGACGGAGTCCAGGAATGCCGGATCTAATACTGCCTACACCCAGAACTACACCGAGGAGGTGGAATACTTCAACCACAAGGACATTCTCATCGGCCATGAGAGAGGTCAGTGTCTGCACCCCAATACTGATTACTGGGGGGCAATATGAGCCCCAATGATCGCTGGCTGCTATGCTGCTGAATGGGGTGCAATGTCTACATGTCATTATTCCAGGATAGCATGTCAAGGGTAGGGAGCACAGCTCCTCTGATCACCTCCAGCACAACTTTTCTATGGTAGGTGTGTGCTGCAGAATGGTAGATGACCCCCCCCCCCCCCCCCCGATACTGATGGGTGCAGGGTGGATTGGTGACATGTTATTGCAGCATGGCATGCAGATCTTTGTGTCCAGGAGCACTGCTGATCTCTATCTGTAGGTAGGTGATCCCTCATACTGCTGGGGTGATATGGTTCCAGTGTGTACATCGGATTGCAGCATGTCCTCTAGCTATGTGCCCATAGGAGCAGTGCTGATCTCCAGCATAACTTTTGTGGGTGTGTGCAGCATAATGGTAGAAGATCCCCTACACTGCTGGGGGGGGGGGGGGGGGACTGGTTACAATGTATCTATATTACTGTTGCAGCATGACATGTATCTGTGTGTCCAGATCAGACTACAAGGAGCACATCTGAGCATATCTATTGTAACTTTTGTAGTCGGTGTGTGCTGCAGAATGGTAGATGCCCCCTCCCCCCTAATAAATTGGATGAATTGGTTATATGCTGTAGCATGATCTATGTGTCCAGGTGATCAGAACATAAGAATCACATCTGATCTCATCATCTCCATCATAACTTGTGTAGATGGAGGTTATATAATAGTAGATGCCCCCCCCCAACTTGTGCAGAATCAATTGGGTATTATTATAATAGATGATATGACAGATCTGTGGCGATCAGACTGTATGGAGCACATCAAATCTGATCATCTACATCACAGGTTTTGTAGGTGGGGGTTGTATAATGGTAGATGCCCCCCCCCCCCCCCCATTTGTGCAGGATCATCTGGTTACATTGTATAGATGTTATTGCAGCAATGCAATCTAAGAAGCACATCTGATCATCTCCATCATAACTTATGTAGATGAAGTGTAGATATCAGTACATGCCCCCCAGGATGACTTAGTTACCATGTATAGATGTTGGCATACAGATCTTTGTGTCCAAGTGATCAGGATATAAGCAGCACATTTGGGCACAACTTTTGTAGCTGGGGGTTGTATAATGGTAGCTGACCCCCCCCCCCCCCCCCCCCCCCCGGGTGCAGGCTGCATGTTACAGCAATGCATAGAGATCTGTGTCCAGGTGATCAGTGACTGTGGATCACATCTGATGTCCATGCTAAGTTTTGTAGGTGGGGTGGGGGTTGTATAATGGTAGATGGTGGTGTGTGCAGGCTGGTATCCCATAGCCCCCAGTCATTAGATGGGAAGGAAGGAAGGAGGGGGTGGGGGTGCAGGAATCATCTTGTTTTTCTGAAGTTTCAGGCTGCCTTTGTTAGAAGCGGTTCAATCCTGTTTTGGGCTAGTGGTGTCAGTGGAGAGAGAGCTGTGAGTGGGAGGGGGAGCCTCCTCTGCACGCCGCCCATTGGCTGCTCTGCTGTCAGGTGGTGCCGATGACTTCATATCTTCCAGAAGAGAATGGCACACACACTCATACATAGGATCGGAGAAGTGCGGCCACATATACCGTCTATACACTGCCAGCTAGACCTGATCATTGCCTGGGCATGTACTGATTAATAACCAATCAGGGAGTCTGCCCTGCACTGCAGTCTGATGTATGGGGCAGATTGTGTGTGCGCCGATCTAAAACCACGTCTGTGTATGAGCATCATGTATTGGATTACAGATCGGTGATCATTGGCTCTAGGCAGGCTGACACTGAATCCATAGACAAGTTGTCGGCTGTAGCAGTGACGGGGTTAATTCTGATCCTCTCCTGTTACGTGCAGCTCAGTAGGCGACTCTCACACAAGCTTGGTGATGTGTTGGGATGGGGAGAGCCAAGCTGCGCCCAGCACTCTGCTCATTGGTGTCTGAGCTTTTGTTAGGCTGTTGCCAAGGTGATGGCAGCGTTTTCTGATTGGCTTGCTCCTGTTGCTTAGGGCACCCGGGGAACAGGTGGAAGGAGGTGGGCGTGGTCCGTGTAGGCTGATTAACCCGTACTGCTGCTGGGCAGAGTGTGTTCTAGAAGCAGCGCGTACTGTAATGGGAAGAAGAGACCTATTTATGGGACAGCGGGGCTGGGGGATGTGCAGTCACCAACATGGCACTTCCTGTCCTGGGGGGGAGGGGGCACACCGAATCTTCCTCAGTTATATCATATTTGACGATAAAGTCACCTTTAGTACAGCAACAGGTCCCCATGAGCAGAGCTAGTCCAGCCGGTGATCAGGAGCCCGCTGCATGTGGTGTCCGTGTACACGGCGCTTCATTCTTAGTGCCGAATATTAAACATTCAAACGGCCATGGAACTGTGTGTGCGGATCCTGTGATCGCTAATGAGAAAACTGCAGCAAACACGGCTTTTCAGTAGGCGAGGAACTACAAGTTCCAGCAAGTCCTGGCGGGACATTTCCCTGTGCCTGCCGTATACCATGTACACGGGACCAGTGCTTCTCTTACCGGGGAGCCCAGCTTGTGCCCCTCCCCCCAAGTTAGATATCATGTAGGGGAATGGAGTGCCCCCCACAAAGCTAAATATGGAATGGGGTGCCCCCCTAATTTTGCTATATAGGGAATGAGGTCCCCCCAAACTTGGGTATGTTAGAGAATGAGGTGTCCCCCAAAAGTTAGATATGGAAAGGGGTGTCCCCCTAAGATGTATTGAGGGAATTAGGTGCCCCCCAAAAGTCAGATATGGAAAGTGGTGTCCCCTAAGTTAGATATATCGTGAGGGAATGAGGTGCCCATCAAAAGTTAGATATGCAATGGGGTGCCCCCAAAAAATTATAAATGGAGTTGGGTGTCCCCCCTAAATTAGATATCTTCTAAGGAAATTAAGTGCCCCCCCAAACTGATATGTTGTAAGAGAATGAGGTGCCCCCAAATGTCAGACATGGAGTGGAGTGTCCCCCTAAGACATGTAAGAGAATGGGGTGCCCCAAATGTCAGACATGGAGTGGAGTGTCCCCCTAAGAAATGTAAGAGAATGGGGTGCCCCCAAATTTCAGATATGGAATGGGGTGTCCCTCTCTAATTGTAAGGGAATGGGGTGCACCCCAAAAGTTAGAAATGGAGTGAGGTGTCCCTCCAAGTTAGATAACTTCTAAGGAAATTAAGTGCCTCCCCCCCAAACTTACATATGTTGTAAGAGAATGAGGTGCCCCCAAAAGTTCGATATGGAATGTGGTGTCCTCCTAAGATCTATATTGTAAGGGAATGGGGTGGCCCCAAAAAGTTAGAAATGGAGTGGGGTCTCCCCCGAAGTTAGATATCTTCTAAGGAAATGAAGTGCCCCCCCAACTTGGATATGTAAGAGAATGAGGTGCCCCACAAAAGTTAGATATGGAATCGGGTGTCCCCCTAAGTTATATTTTAAGGGAATGGGGTGCCCTCCAAAGTTAAATGTCTAAGTAAATGAGGTGCCCCCAAAAGTTAGATATCCTGGAATGCTGTGCCCCCCAAAGTTAGGCATCTTGTAAGGGAATGGGGTGCCCCCCAAAGTTAGACATCTTGCACCCCTTTTATTATGAGCATCGGCAGATCAGCAATGAGCAGTGAACACATGGCGAACTAGAGAATCCAACAACATGAAGCCTGTCGATAATGTAGCAATGTATATTCTGTAAAGGAATAAATATCTGTAATAGACCTTCTATGTAAGTGGTAAGGTGCAAGCTCCTCTGACTACAGCCCCTGTCACCCGATTCCTAGTCTGCCAGCATAGACACAGCCTGACCGTTTCAAGGGGCAACATTCTAGAAAGTCTATAAATAGCCCCCCAGCCAGGGCTCGTCTGGGCTGATTTGCTAAAATGAAATGGAATAAAAATGACTTTCGTTTGTCCGTGAAAGGTGACGCTGCTCTGACTTTAATCATCCAATCACCTGCGAGCAAAAATCTTTATTCTTTATGTGATTAGGTATTCCTTGCAATGTAAATTTTCAGTTTGGTGAACTTGTGCTGACTGTTCATCCAATCATGAGCAAGCAAAAATCCTTTTTTCTTTGGCCATGTCTTTGCAACGTGACGTTTCCCTTGCCTTCGCCTTAGTAAATCACCCCCGTCTGTTAAAATGTCTGATGTCCCTCGGATTTCCCGGGGCAGCAGACAAAAGCGTGGCGAATTTCGAGGAATTTGCAGCCATGGGGCTAACAGCACATTGCCTACGGCTGTGCACCCAGCGTGGTCCCCACTACACCCGGAAGAAGGGGGCGGAAAGCCTAGAAAGGAGTAGGCGGCAGCAGGCTAGGCTGTGCTCCGCCATCTCTCCATCCAGCTACGTCATGTCTATGCATATGAGGGACTGGCTGAGGATCTGCTTGCACCGGTTCAGGCCGGTCCTCTCCTGCTAGAGTCTGTCTGTGATTGACAGCTCAGCACTTGTTTACCACACTGTACAGCCGCTAGTGCTCTTTTCCAGGAGATTGCTGAGCTGGCATGAAGAAAAAAAAAAAACTTGCAGCGGAGAAGGAGAAAAAAAAACTATCTGGGTTTTAAAATAAAGAACGTGTAGTTTTATAGAGACAAATAAAATGTAAAAAATCTTCTGTGTCGTTCTACATTCCTTCACTACGTGGTCTTTGTAGTCAGATCATGAGCCTGATCTATGGTGATCCAAATAACAGCCATTGTTTGTTTCCACTCGATATATAGTTATCTAAATTGAAAATAATAGAGGATTTGTACATTTTATTATTTTTAGATATTTTTCCTCGTTTTTTTTTCTTGATTTGCCAGGCTTGCCCCTGTTCTTCACACACCCAAAATGATATGAAAGCTGTGCCCTGAATTGACCAAGATAAAATGGGAAGGTCATGTTGTTTACTGCAAATAGATCCATAATATCTCCATTCCATGGGTGGGGTGTGACCTCAAAGCCATGGACTGGGGTTTATTGTTGGCTGGTTAATTGCATTGTTCTTTCTACCAGTTTAGCTCGTTAGTTAAGCAATGAAATCTGGATCGGGAGGTTTTATGATTGGGAAATAATGGAATAGTTTTCATAGTACTTCATGCAGACATGTCATGTATGTTGCTTCATATTCCTGAAAAACATGTCCGCAAACCGTTCTGTGCAGAATCCCTGGCATTCATAAAGCACATCAAAGGAATTAATAAAGCACATCGAAGACATTCATTTGAGATGTGTCCACTGTCTGTGAAATAAATGGTGTAAGTTTGCGACAGATTCATGTTGGTAAGGTGCATATGAATCTGTTGCAGATTTACCTCAAACAAAATTTGTCTGTGACATAGTTCACTCCAACATGGAAGAGGCCCTGTATACCTCCATTTTGTTTCTCCAACATGGTGGTATTTCTTGACTTTGTCACAGTAAGGTGTGTATGAATCTGAAGGTTTACTGCAGACAAATGTTTTCTTGTGTCTCGGTACCTGCACATGCAACACAATTTACTCCAACATGGAAGAGGCCCTATGTACCTCCATTTTGTATCATGACATGGCGGTATTTCTTAATGACTTTGGCCCCATAAGGTGTATATTAATCCTTTGCAGATTTGTGTCTCAGATGAAATCTTGAGGTAATACTTCCACATTATTATACAGGATTTATATAGCGCCAACAGTTTGCGCATCACTTTACAAAATGAAGGTAGACCTTACACATGTAATACAATGTACCCCCAGCATGGAAGTGGTCCTGTGTACCTCCATCTTGTATCACCGACATGGTGGTATTTCTTAGTGGCTCTGTCCCCATAAGGTATATATGAATCCACTGAAGATTTGTGTCTCAGATGAAATCTTGAGGTAATACTTCCACATGTAACACAATGTATCCCCAAAATGGAAGAGGTCCTGTGTACCTCCATCTTGTATCATCAATATGGTGTTATGTTATAGTGGCTTTGTCCACATAAGGTGTATATGAATCCACTTCAGGTTTACCTCATGATTTCATCTGAGACACCATACTTCCACATGTGACACAATGTACCCCCAACATGGAAGAGGTCATGTGTACCGCCATCTTGTATCTTCGACATGGCTGTATTTCTTTGTCCACATAAGGTGTATATGAATCCATTTCAGATTTACCTCAAGACTTTATCTGAGACACAATACTTACACATGTGACACAATGTACGCCCAACATGGAAGAGGTCATGTGTACATCCACTTTTCTTACATCCAACATGGCAATAATTCTTAATGAATCTGTCACAGCCATAGCACCAGAATGTAAAAGTCTCACACATATGAAGCAGCCTTATTGGTCGCACATGTTGGAAACCACAAGAAAATGGCTATCATGAATCTGGCCCAGGACTATCTTGATACAATCATAATGTGTTGCGAATGCTTTGAGTCATCCCCCTTTGTGATGTTACTATAATCTCATAGCTTGTTGCCTCTGGTAAATTTGCAGGATATGTTGTAAAACTGAACTGAACAGACACATCTGAGGTAAATGGGAACATTGAAGGCATTTTTTCTATTCTTTCAGACGATGATAACTCAGAAGAAGGACTGACCACTATTACTTCAGGACGCCATGAATATGCATTTAGTTTCGAGCTTCCACAGACGTAAGTATCTCCTAACAGTCTTTTGTTAGACTACACCACTCCCTAGCCATAGTATATTGACATGTCCTACACATACTAAGAGAGATAATGCCACCACATTTTAGTTTAAGGACAAAGGTCTACTCCTGCCTTTTTGTCCTATATCTTTTTAGAAGCCCTGCTTTTGTCAGTTCAATGTACATTCTAATGTACACAATTCAGAGCCTTCTACATAAAACACCTGCCTATGTGGCTTTGTCTACTAAACATGCTTTGCATGAACCAGCACCAAGCTGGATTTAATGTTCCCTGACTGAAGCACCGTCACTAATTTTGCCTTCCTCTTTTGTACAGACCACTTGCTACCTCATTTGAAGGGAGACACGGTAGTGTACGGTATTGGGTGAAAGCAGAATTGCACAGAGCCTGGCTGCTACCAGTAAAATTAAAGAAGGAATTCACCGTGTTTGAACATATAGATATCAACACTCCTTTATTATTGGTAAGACATATTGTTTTTATTCATAAAAGGAGATATTTTTTTAACAGTAATAGAGATCAATGAACGTTTAGATTTTTTTTTTTTTTTTTTTTTTTTAATTGTCAGACATTTACTTCAGCTAGAAATTTGTTTTCTGACTGTACAATTTTCACTAATTCCAGCAGCCGTTATAACAAATATTTGCAATTTTAACTAATCTGCATACTGCTTTCATGACCATAGCAAACATGGCATCTGCTGTACGTTTTGGCTGGCCAGTTATTAATTACTTGACCATTTGTGTGAACTGGATGAATAAAATATACATTGGAAACCTCCAGCTCAGAGAATTTTGAGCATGTTATGAATATTCATTATCTGTAGGCTGTGGCGGTAGCTGTTTTCTAAATTTTTTCCAAGACTGATGAAATGCAGCTTTATAAACTCACAAGTTCCTCATAAATCTTAGTCAGGCTTCATGGACAATTTAGCTGGCCTGTGTCACAGAGATTGCAGTTTCTTAAAAAAAAAAAAAAAAAAAAAAAAACATGGCAGACTGCATTCTACATCGGTTCAGCTAACAATATGGCTACTCAGGCTTTATAGGCCACAAGCACTAGATAGGTCAGCTTAAGTCATCTTTTATTTTTTTTTTTTTTTACCCTCTGCTTTATGAATTTAGGATTTATAATAATGGGCTTTTTTCTTTCTTTCTTTTTCAGTCACCACAAGCAGGCACAAAAGAGAAAACGCTGTGTTGTTGGTTTTGTACCTCAGGTCCAATATCCTTAAGTGCCAAAATTGAAAGGAAGGGCTATACACCAGGTAAATATATTTACCTTTTACATAAAAATTAATTTTATTTTTGCTGGGCATAGTCTCTCTGATTAGCTAAAAGCGGTGGTCTCCAAACTGTGGCCTGGAGGCTGGATGCAGCCCTTTGCTTGCCTTTTTCTGGCCCTTTGGGCACGATTCCTCGCACAGACATTAAACATGAGGCAGAATTCCTTCCCACTGACATCAACACTCGATTACTATTCCTGCCACTGACACCAACACTCGAGCATTATTCCTGCCACTGACACCAGTAATGGGGCATTGTTACTGACACCAGGACATTTTCTACTCTGGCTTCAGTCCAGCCCATCTGAAGAATAATGAACTGGCCCCTTGTTTGGAAAGTTTGGAGCCTCTTGGCTTAAAGAAAAGACACACAGAAAATATTAAATTATGCATTGGTTTTAGATTTGATTTTTCTCCCAGGCTTGTACTGCATTTTCCTTACAGCCCATTTCTATCTTCTTCCTGAAGGTGAATCCATTCAAATCTTCGCAGAGATTGAGAATTGTTCTTCCCGAATGGTTGTACCTAAGGCAGCCATATATCAGACACAGACTTTCTATGCCAAAGGGAAAATGAAGGAGGTGAAACAACTTGTCGCCAATTTACGAGGAGAGTCCCTGTCTTCTGGGAAAACAGAGACCTGGAATGGCAAGCCGCTAAAGATCCCTCCAGTGTCCCCTTCCATCCTCGACTGCAGCATAATTCGCGTGGAATATTCCCTCATGGTATGTCTTGATGAAATGTTGCTTATGGCTTCCAAATGCCTGATACTATTTATTGTGACTGTAGTGGCCCACCTTGTCAGAATCCAATCATTATTGCAGGAAATAGTCTTTTAAAATAAAAATGGTGCATTTATATTGGACATTTAATTGTGACATTACATTTACTAATCTAGCCACGTTTTGGCCAAATATTATTGCTAGGGAAAACAAAACACAATAAAAATGATTGCTGTATTAACACTGTTGGACTATGTAGGTTCTTTTTCATGGATCTGTGTGCCCATCTGCTTTCTGATATAAAGATATACAATAGAAATTCAGAATAACTGATTTAAAACAGTCCAAAAACTTGGGCATTAACTTGCAGATCTAGTCTAACTTGCTGATCATTGGCCTGTGTATGTGGTGGAAATGATTCCCATGGTGTTTCTATACTGGGATATTTCAAAGACATGGACTGAAAAATCAAAGAGAACATTAACCATGTGTAGCTTAGGGGCCTATGAACAAGTATGAATGTTTTAGTTTACAAGGTACAAGAGAAGCTATAAAATATATGCATAGAAAGAAAGCTAAAAGTATAAATAATAACATGTTTTCTTGTTTATTAAGCAAGTTGATTTTATCTTTTTATTTTAATTTTTTTTTTAGGTATATGTGGATATTCCAGGCGCAATGGACTTATTCCTTAATTTACCGCTAGTCATTGGAACAATCCCCTTGCATCCATTTGGCAGCCGGACATCAAGTGTTAGCAGTCAGTACAGCATGAACACTTGGCTTGGCTTTGTCCTACCTGAACGACCTGAAGGTAATTTCCCAATTCTGTACCTTTTACTCTTCTGACAGATGTTGCAATCCAGCACATTCTCCCACGTGCTAGTCATTGTCCACAAGTATGTACATAGTCATGCAATATTATTGCATAGGGACCATAATGTAAATACAAATGTTCTTTGCACGTGCTTAGTTCAGCGATGAGATTTAAAATTAACAAACACATATAGCTAGCTTCCTTGGTTGCTCTTCATTATGAATTCTGTTTACATTTATATATATATTTTTTTTTTTTTTTTTTGCTTTTCTTAACATATTCTTTGTTCTTTTGTTTCAGCACCTCCCAGCTATGCTGAAATTGTCACAGAAGAGCAGAGACAAAATCTTATATCATCAAATATTTGTGACAATTTCGAGTTGGCACTTCAAGGACCACTTTTTGCATATATCCAAGAATTTCGTTACTTGCCTCCTCCTCTCTACTCAGAGGTAAGCCTATTCTTCTTGGAAGCAATAAATGTGTTCATTCTTATTGTATATGCCACCAATTCTTTTGTTCTGAGGTTGTGAATCATGCTTTTGTCAAGTCCCACCAGCCCACTAAAATTAAGCTGGTCTTCCTTGCATTAAGAGCAGATTAAAAATACATTTATTTTAATTCCATAAAATGATTGTTAATAAAGCCCTTGTTTAAGGGGGCTATCAATTGACAGTAGTCTTGTTGATTTTCATATCACATGACAGACATCCCACTAGCTCTGTGACCGTAATGAGAATGTCACAATCCAAATTGCACAATACAAGTAGCTTTGTGTTTTGTAAGCATAGAGGAATGCCAGCACAATGCTCAGTTCAAAAGAGCCAGCTCCCCTTCATGTGTTACAGAGAGATCATGGTAATTCAATACCAAATAATACAACTGAACAGCATCATCTGTATGAGGGTATTTTATAACTAACCCAAATTTACCCATTCATAAAATAAAAAAATGTTTGAAAGGATGGTGGATGTTTTCTGATGTTCAAATCTATTCAATGATGTATGTGAAGGCACACCATTCATAAGCACTTTAGTTCAGCTCACAGGGATAAAGTTGTACAATATCCAGTGTTGTCATTATAAGAGAAAAAAAGACTTAAGCATTGCAAACATTTTTTCCATCATCTGCCACAAAGTCATAAAATGCACAGCGAAGAGTGCTGCGTAACTGAGGGCAAAAATAAATCTAAATAGTAAGCGTAATGGAAGTTGAAATGTACATACACTATATGGCCAAATGTTGGAGGACAGTAAACTTTTCACGTATCTTAGTCTAAATGAACAATAAACTTAGTTTCCCCTGCAAGAGTGTTTTCTGTGGCAATTTGTGCCCATTCAGCTAAAAGAGCTTTTGTGAGGTCAAGTACTAATGCTGGATGAGAAGACCTGGCTTGCAATCGCAAAGAGTTTTAGTTAATCCTAAATGTGTTCAGTAGTGTTGAGGTCGGAGCTATGTGCAGGATGCTTGATTTTCTCTACTCCAGGTTCCTCAATCCATGTCTTTATAGACATGACTATGGGTACAAGGGTGCAGTCATGTGGGAACAGAAAAGGACTTTCCCCAAATTGTTGCCATAAAGATGGAAGCAAGCATTTGTCTAAAAAAAACTTTGTATGCTGTAGCAGGAGCAATACCCTTCACTGGAAATGCCTACATTTAAAGATTTGATCTGTGATGGCTCATGTTCACATTGTATCCCATTTATTATGCTGAATATATGCCATTTAGTCTTGTATTCAGCTCTTGCATTTGCTTACTCTACTTTTACTAGTAAAAATATATTGAAACTAAACATTTGGAGGGTGTCCGTACTTTTGATTTATATAGTGGATGTACTTGGAGCATTGCATTAGCTGTGAACTCTTAGTTAGAAATTATACATTTTTAGTAAGGAAATAAAAGATCAATATAGACAAAGCTTTTTTTTGGCTCTACTTCTCCTGTAGGTCACAGGAGGGCAGTTCGTTCCGCACTCTTGTGACCCATTTTCATCTGACAGCAGGCTAAAGACCGCTCAGCCGATCCAGACTCTGAAAAGATCCACGCAGATGATTGGACCAGCACCTGGCTCAGCCTCTCACAGAGAGCTTGAGCCAGCTCTAGTGAGTAGTGGTAGGGTAGAGCAGAGAGCCAGAGACTGACAGTCACGGCTCTGTGTTCAGAGCAGAGGGGAGAATTGAGCAATCAGTGTTTGCTTAATTCTCACCACAGAGCCTTGGCAAGAAAAAAAAACACATACATTTCTAAAGTACATTCCTCCCTTAAAACAATCCATTCCTCCAGAAACAATCCATTGAAAGACATTAAAACATGGACTTGTAGAAAAGATACGTACACATATATATTAGCATTCAGATATATAGATGGGAAAAAAAATGTAAATGATTGCAGATTTATTTTATTATGTCGGGTAGACCTTACAGATTCAGGTGAATCTTACCGACTTAAAGCGGAATTAAAGTGATCAAATTAAAATTTGTGAGCAGGCATGATCACTCAGGATGCCCCATTACCAAATGAATTAACTCGCATGTGCATGTGGGGGAGTTAAGTTATTCCCCTTGCCAGCCAATCAAGATGTTGAGATCAGCAAGGGACATTACTAACTTTTTTTTTTTTTTTTCTTTTCATTGGAGCAAAGTTTTTTTTCTTAATATAATAAGTCATAAACACGGCTTGACTCAACCATTTTACTCCTTCCCCCAGACATCAATCTCAAAAGGTATTACAATACTTATGTATACATAAAGTGCGACAAACCAATACAACTGTTTTTTTATATAACATTTGCATCTTCACCTTAGAAAATAATATGCAAGTCAAAGTTTAGTAAGTAGGTTACTTCATAAGAACAGAACATGGGCCTTATTTTTGAAGAGTGGGCTGTAGGAAACATATCTTGATGCCCAGTCATTTTACAACCATGCTTGTAAAATATACAAAGATTCTGATTGGTTGCTATGAGTAGCAACACCTTTCCTTGTTAGCTCGCTATTAATTTTCCTTTGCATTGTGCTTTTTTGCTAATGAAATGCAAAGCTCTGTAAAGCAGCCTGTATGAATGTTTTATTGCTTCTTCACTATTTGCTAATTTTTTTTTTTTTTTTACTAATTGATACATGAAATTCCATAGTATGTTGATCCAAATGGATTCTTGTTTTCTATAGGTTGACCCAAACCCAGATCAGCCCATTGAAGATCATCCTTCCTGTCCATCTCGCTGAAGGAATTTGATATAGTCAGCTGATGGGACTAACTGAACTGCCAACAGTGAGAATTGGCAACCATTATGGAGATGCACTTTCCCAGAAACACAGTCTGAGTCTCGCCATGGAAGTTGCAGACTGAATCAACCTGTGGTCATGATTTTTTGCGCTTACAGCTTTGTAACACGTTTGTGCTCCATACTTAACAGAAGTTGGACTGCCTTGCTGTCAGCACAATGAAGACGCTGCGCTCCTAAAGCACGCGGTCAAGCAACAAGATGCTCAGCACGCAGTGAAAGAGGTTCAGGATTCCTCTCTCACGCTGAAAATTTGCACACCTTCAGTGTGTATGTAGAGCAGCTTGGAATCACTACAGCTTTCCTTTTTCTCCTCTGCTTGGTTGTGTTGTTCACACCATGAAGCACATGAAAGCTTTGAGAGACTATACAATGACAAATGCACTATTTTTTTTTTTTTTAATCTTTTTGTTTTTTTTTTTTTTTTTGGTTGTAGCCTGGGCTCTACCTGCATATTGACATGCTTAGTACTGTCCTGTATGGCTGCATGTGCATCACCGTCAGCTTGCATACAGCAATGGATTTCTTTACACACATCTAATGCCTTCACGCCAATCCTTATTGCTGTTATGGTTTGCGGCCTACTGTTCTAGAATAGCAACAATTCCAGTGGGTTAGAGAAAGAAGGAGAAAAGGTGCAAGTACACGAGACTGTCATCAAGATTGTACACCTTAGTTTCTTTCAAAGACATTGTTGCCTTTTATACTGTCACCCCAAGCAGGATTTTGTTACAGACTTCCTACAAATCACTTAATCTCAGGAGATATCATCACTTGCCAAAATTTGGAATGCTATTTGTGTCTTTTATGTTGCACTGTACCTTGTAGGGAGTTTATGGAGTGGCGTTAGCTGATAACATGCACAGAAAAAGCAAAATGTCTTTTTGCTGTCTAGTCCTTCTTCATGTGCTCTCATTCTAGCAGCCCCCAACTGGTTTAAATGCGATTGATGCACAAGAAAAAACAGTAGTGTTCTGCACAAGCACCCGAATGGTCAAAAGTACATTGGTGTTTTATTAGCGGGAATGGGCACCCAGGCTTGTAATTCCTTTTTATGCAATTTTGTGAGCAGTGTTAATGGACTTTGTGCTGTAGGACACATCGAAGAGCCGAAACATGAGCACTCAAAGCCTTCACTGAGAGAATTTAAAATTTAGGCACATGTACAATGAGTGCTGACGTATGACATTTGTTTTTTTACTTTGCATCACTTTAAGGTCTAATAGCAGACTAACATCAGCTCATTCACACAAGTTGTACTTGAAAGATCAAATCTGGCAATGTTAACATACAGCCTAGATTGTACCATCGCCCTTAGGCTAGCAGCTGAGGAACTTAACCATGTATTGTGTTAAAGTAACATCGGTTTATTGATCCATGCTTTTTGCAAGTGTCCTTTTTAAAACTAATTTAGTAGGTAGTTCCTTTTTGATTAAAATAAATAAAAACTTCCAAAGTGAAGACAACTTTAATTAGTCACGTTTTAAGTGATTCATCCGACGTTTGGTTTTCTCTATCTGACATAATACTGATTTTTAAGAGGAAGTGACAGTAGTTTTGACAATTTCCCATTCCCCCACCCCCAAACACACACACGCACGCCCCCACCTTCCTTCTTCCTTTTTTTTTTTTTTTTTTTTAACCTCCACTGGTCAAGTGCAGATCAGTTTGCATTAAAGCATTATGCATTTTTTTTTCCTGTATTCATTTAATCAAAACTATTGTTCCATTTTGTTTTTTTTTTTTCCATGATTTAGAAAAGTGGGAACAATCCCTACTTGCCTGCAGATCAGTAGGCAAAGGTTATGTCTGTATAGGGTAGACCAATATTAATAGCCACTGCAAATGTATGTGAGATTTAGCATTGTTGAGGCCACTGGCACTGTATCGCATGAAATGTGGTAAATCAAAAAAAGCTTCAAACTTCTGCAAAGTTTGTGGAAATATTTATTTACTCTGTTGTTTAGAGGCATTATTTTTCTCTTATTACTTTTTTTTTTTTTTTTTATAATGTACTGGTCAGTTTTCATGTGTAGTCCAGTATTCAAGATGGTTTCCTAACTAGGAACAAAATGATTGAAATCCAGATTTCTAGAAAAGAAAAAAAACAAAGTGCAATATTTCATGTATGCTTATAGATACTAATCTATGGCTATTTGTATGTTTATTTTTTGTTTTTACTTGTTTTTGTTTTGGTGCTGAAAAATGTTATTGTAGGCTCCAGTTCAAAGCAGACTTTATGTGGAAAATGTTAAATTTTCCTAATGTTCTTCCTTGTTTAAAAGAAATAAAAACATGTTCATTTTTTAATAACATTGTCTGGGTTTATTTAGTTTCTTATGGTATTACTAATGCTGATCTAAACTATCAAGTGGATTCTAAAAATAATTCATTAAGGTATTTGTCAGTGGTACAGACCTCCTTTTTGTTAGTTCACCACTGCCAGCCTTCATGAATAGAAGGTTGAAGATGATACAGTTGTGGCCAAAATTATTCAACCCCCAATGCTGTAAAGGGGTTTAGGGACTATAGTGTACATTTGGAATTGTATTCAGAATCAAATCCTACAAGGACGTTGTAACTACCCAAATGCAACTAAAATGACATCAATTGTTTATGTAATACAGTAGTAAATGGTTCTTATGTGGTTTCTTCATTGCCACAATTATTCAACCCCTTAAAGACTACCACTCTGAAGAACAGAGGTTCATACAGGTGCTTTCCATCAGGTATTGAAAACACCTGTGGATGTCACCGAGCAGCAATCAAGCATAATAAGCACCAATTAGGCAGCTTTAAAATGACTGTGATACTCAGCTCCTTCTAGACATTTACTGGTGTGGTTACAAACATGGTGAAGGCAAGAGAATGGTCCAGGAAGACAAGAGAAGAGGTGATTTCTCTTCACAGGAAGGGCAATGGCTATAAGAAGATTGCAAAGATGTTAAACATACCAAGAGACACCTTAGGAAGCATCATTCGCAAATTCAAGGCAAAGGGCACTGTTGAAACGCTACCTGGTCGTGGCAGAAAGAAGATGCTGACTTCGACTGCTGTGCGCTACCTGAAGCGTAGAGTGGAGAGAAGTCCCCGTGTGACTGCTGAGGAACTGAGAAAAGATTTGTCAGATGTGGGTACAGAAGTTTCAGCCCAGACAATAAGACGCACACTGCGTAATGAAGGCCTCCGTGCCAGAACTCCCCAGGCGTACCCCCTTGCTGTCTCCAAAGAATAAGAAGAGTCGACTGCAGTATGCCAAAAGCCATGTGGACAAACCACAAAAGTTGTGGGATAGTGTTCTGTGGACTGATGAAACAAAATTAGAACTGTTTGGGCCCATGGATCAACGCTATGTTTGGAGGAGGAAGAACAAGGCCTATGATGAAAAGAACACCCTTGCCTACTGTGAAGCATGGTGGAGGGTCAATCATGCTTTGGGGCTGTTTTGCTTCTGCAGGTACAGGGAAGCTTCAGCGTGTGCAAGGTACCATGAATTCTCTTCAGTACCAGGAGATATTGGATGGAAACGTGATGCAGTCCGTCACACACCTGAGGCTTGGGAGACGTTGGACCTTTCAACAGGACAATGATCCCAAGCATACCTCCAAGTCCACTAGAGCATGGTTGCAGAGGAAAGGCTGGAACATTTTGGAGTGGCCATCGCAGTCACCAGACTTAAATCCGATTGAGAACCTCTGGTGGGACTTAAAGAAAGCAGTTGCAGTGCGCAAGCCTAAGAATGTGACTGAACTGGAGGCCTTTGCCCATGAAGAATGGGCGAAGATACCCGTAGATCGCTGCAAGACACTTGTGTCAAGCTATGCTTCACGTTTAAAAGCTGTTATAACTGTAAAAGGATGCTGTACTAAGTACTAAGATTGAATGTCACTTGGGGGTTGAATAAAACTGATAATGCTGTGAGCACAGAAAAGACATTTGTGGTTATTTCATTATAACTGTTATGTTATATTTGTCTGACCTACAAGTGCCTCTTTAATGTAAATGTAAGCAAGATGACTGAATGATCAAAAGCAATGTCAAACTGGCCAAAACACTCAATTTCAGTGGGGGTTGAATAATTTTGGCCACAACTGTAAATGCAAAGAGTGATTGTGATCTTTTCGTAACTGGCAATTAAACTGTAGAAATTAAAAAATAAATTTTAATGGATGGCTAGGCAACCTTTTTTAAAATTGAGTAGCCATGACTCAGCAGGAAGTAAGCATATGGAAAAGAAATGGTGCTAGGACATCCATCAAACTATTGGATCCAGACCATATCAGGGAGCATTTTGCAGTAGAACCACAATAGTAGCTCTTTCAGGGTCTTTCACCAGCAGGAAAGGCTGAGCCTGGGTGGGCTTATGGTAGGGGAGGGTGTTCTGCCATGGTGTCTTGGAGTGAGGACCAATGAAAAGGAACAATAGAGGGGTGTTATTCTCTCTTACATGAAACACTTAGAAGGCGGTCCTGTGTACATAGTTACATAGTCTGACTGAAAAAAGACAAAAGTCCATCCAGTTCAACCATTAACAAAGTTTTAGTCCTACAGCCACAGTTGATCCAGTGGAAGTAAAAAAAAAAAAAAAAAACCCAGCAAAGCATGATCCCATTTGCTCCTGAAGGGAAAAAAATTCCTTCCTGATCCCCGAGAGACAATCGGATATTCCCTGGATCAACTATACCTATAAATGTTAGTATCCAGTTATATTCGGTGTATCCAAGAGAGAATCGAGGCCTTTTTTAAAGCAATCCGCTGAGCTGGCCAGAACCAACTCTTGAGGGAGTCTATTCCACATTTTCACAGCTCTTACTGTGAAGAAATCTTTCCCTCTTTGGAGATTACATTTATTTTCCTGCAGACATAAAGAGTGCCCCCGTGTCCTCTGTGATGATCTCAGGGTGAATAGTTCTACACAGTTCACTGTATAAACCACTGATG